AAAATAGATAATATCATGCAAATTAGGTAATTAATATGCACAGATTTTACCAAAATTAATCAAATCTTCGCATATGTTCAGAGCATCTATGTACCAAGTTCATCAAAATCCAATGAGTGGTTCTTTAGATATCAGTGGAACAGTCATAGAACAGCTAAAAATTAGCTAATTATCATGCAAATTAGGTAATTAACGAGCATGGATTTTTACCAAAACCTAATCAAATCTGCGCATTGGCCCAGAGCATCTATGCACCAAGTTTCATCAAAAACCGATGTATGGTTCTTGAGATAGCAGTGGAACAGTCGGACACACATACACACACACACACACACACACACATACACACATACACACATACACACACACATACAGACACACTAACTGCAAAGACTCCCATTTTGTGCTTCGCACATGGGAGTCAAAAACGGTATGTGAGTAATTTATCTCAGTGGTTTCTTTAAACAAGATACCAATTGAACTATAGTTCTTCTGATGTTCCAACATAAACAGCATCATAGAATAACTGTCACACGCAACGTAATATTACCGTAATTGGTATAGTACAGGTGTGATGGTTCAAATACCAAAATGACAACAGTAACAGAAAGACTTCCCTGGCGGCGATGATAAAATACGAACACGGAGCCAACAGATGAGGTTTCAACTGGTACTGGTATTATTATACTCTGCAAACATCAAGTACAATAACGCGGTAAAACTCAACTACTCCAATAACTAGATACTTAAACTCCAATACAATTCAACGAGATCTCCGATCTGAACTCAGTGCTGAACAACTCCCCTATATATACCCCCACTGTCTATAAATATACCATTACATCAGCATACATAATGAGTCTGGAACTTACTACAAATTTCTAGAATGTTCCATTACCTTCTATTGCCTCCTGCAGTGATCTATTACCTATTCAACCAGTTTCTAAACAAAATCTAGAATATTCCACCCAGACACAGTACGGTTCTAGAACATTCTCAGTGACACGGAAGTGGTACATAAGTCGTATGCGACAATAACCATCACTAAGAATTCTTAGAAATGGAACTGTGCATGCAGCTTTCAAGTAAATTGATAAATATGATAAATCGGTGAATTTCAAAATGTTATTCAGGTATCAACTCAAATTGTAGTTTCCAACGAAACCGCGAACTGTAATACAATACTCATTGTATACAGTATTTTCGCATTAGTATTGATGTAAGCCTGCACAACAAATGACAATAGGTCCAAAGTACAAGTAATGTTTAAACTGACAACAGAATTGTACAGATTTATCGTTTTATCTTGAATTTGCCAGTTCTTTCCAAATAGTATTTGTATCTTATCAATTCAATCTGAAAATAATTTCCAAGAAATACATGTCGAATATCCAAGTCTTAGTTTCACATAAATAAGTGACAACGGTAATGCTAAATTGCTTCATATCCTGAGAAAACATGTTTTTTGCTCCGACTATACGTCGCTGTTTTGAGCCACATTTTCACAGACGAGCCGACAATTTGACCCCCAATTTTAAGATTTTTAGCCATTATTTTTGGCGGAAACATCATTTTTTTATCCGAAAGCGCCAAAACGTCAAGCTTTTTGGGCCCAGTCTTCAACTGCCTGGGGAGCACTGACACTAAATATCCAAAATAGTATGCACGAATTTTCAAGTAAAAGAATCTAAAAAGCTGATTTTTAAATTCACACAATACTATTATAACTTTCATATAAAATGTACATTGTTCTTTAAATTAATCTAGTTGGCAACTTTTAATTTCTATTCTGTGTACATCACGTTCTGAAAACAAGGCTAGAGTTTTTGTCAAATACGAAATCTCAAAATTGGTCTCTTCACGGCAATTTTGTTGTTGTTTCCAAACAACAATTCCCACTCATTTGTCTCTTGTTGTTCACGTGTTGTTGTTATTAGTGTAGGACATCCCAGAGTGCATTGCTCGATGATGTAACTTGCAAATGGTGTTCAACCACAGTCACTGTGGGTATTGATTTCATTGCATAGTTGACCGGGCCACTCCATGAACAGTTTACTATTACTATGACTAAACAAATTTAGATACCATTAAATAACACATGAATCACATGTTGTGAAAACTACGGGCGATTTATTTTCACTGTATTCAAATGACGCAGCTGGGCTAAAATTACATCAACATTAATCAACGGTTTAGAAATATATGGTAGGTATATTTTCTGAATTTCCCACCAATCACCAGGCAGACTATCTGCTCGTATCGTTTTTCGGTCGACAAGATTACAGTAGTGGTAGTACGTTTGTTGAATTTTCAAGGATCAAGAAAGACTGATAGATAAAAAAACAAACATGTGAATTCATAACCTACTGTAAAAGGATTAATTAATTACTGGGTTTTAATTTTGCTTATTTCGCTGACTGGAAAATGCGCTAAATTAAAACCCAGTGAATATGTAAAATTTAGCATAGAACACATTATCTAAATGATAAAACAGTGAATTTAAAACACACTGAGTATGCCTGAATGATAAATCAGTGAAATTTAAACTCAGTGAAAATTAGTCATTTCACACTCAGACCAGTAATACAAGTCTGAGTTTCACAGTACATGTACTAGTATATCCCTTTTCTTTTTGTATATATTTCAGGATTCAGCATGACATAACATGAAGCCATTTAATCATTGTACATTGGGAGAACAATGAATCTTTTGTGGATGTCGATTTGTAGTTATGTAATCAAACAATACACTATTTCGCACGTCATATCTCGATGCACCACATTTTGTCGTAAGACCATCTCGTTGAATGACCAGTTTGTGTGTATATCGTTATTTAAGTAAGTATTCAAATACCACGGACATACTGTGTGTATTTTTATTCTCACTTTAATTGTTTGTCTTTATTCACATCTGTATTGCATTTTAGTCAAATTCCTAATAGGGATACGAACACAATAAAGATAATTATTATTACTGCAAATACATGTACAATATTGCGTGTAACTGTCATTTTTTAGATCTAAAGAGTACGAAAAGTCAGCTTTTCAGCAGGTAGTGGTCATATTGTGTTTAATTGCAAAATGTGTAAAAAAAAAAGATTTTTTGAGATGTAAAGGCAGGAAAAGTAAGCTTTTAGCAGGTCGTAATCACACCTGATTCACACTTTATTACGTCCAAAGTTTGTTTTGTTGAAAAGTTGTGGTGATTATGAACGTTGATTATCGTCCTCATATATTAGTACTGATTGATATTACTTTGCAATTCATCTATCATATTAATAAAATTAAGATATCCACTGTAATTGTTTATTGGTGCACAGTCCTTCTATAGAGAGTGCTACAGAGGTATTGGTGTTTTTTCAGTGTCAATTGACACATAAGTGTCATTCATTTGGACAATACAATTCAATTCAATGGGACACACTTCCTGTTTCAGTCAAGTACTAGTATTTTTGGAAAGTATTAACTCCACCCCTTCTGCATTCAACGAACTTTTAATTAAGCCAATAATTTACTTGATTTATTAATTTTAACTGATAGCTGAGATTAATACAATGTTATTAAATTGTAATTCTACACAGGGGAAAAGATTGACTTTTAAAAAGCACAACGTAGACAACACATTTTTGACCTAAATCTCAACGACCTTCTTACTAAATAAAAGTTGTGAAAATCAATTATAAGCAACAATTTGTACCACATTGGGTGGGGGTGGGGGGTGTGTGGAAACTTAAATAACGATAATTTAAAGAAATTGACATTCAACAAAATGGTTTTCCACGAAATGTCATAGACCAGTCATATCTGCGTCCATTTAAATTGGTCGTGAGAACATTTGTTAGGTTGGGTTCACGTATGCCAGTGATCAGCCTTTATTTTAGTCTTAGTGTTTTGTATTATTAGTCTAGTTTTGTTTAGTGTAAATGTAACCATTTTAATTCCCCCTGGGGAATTTTATGTGTTTAATAAAAGTTAAAGTTATAATGTTCATGATTACGTCAGGATATTGGTTCCATTAGATATTGGTTCCATCGCTGATGGAATAATTTAGTGAAAATAAAAACCAGCGAATATACCCTTTTCATATATTTTACCTTTAACTTGTCAAAAATCAGTGAAAATAAATTCCATACAAAACACCCAAAGTCTTTTCAGCATAAAATAATTCCAGCTAAAATAAAGTATTCTACAGTACCCACATTACTAATTGAGCAAATACACGTACTACATTATAGGAGCAAACTTTGTATAGAATGAAATACTATTATCATACAGGAAACTCACTAAATTATGTGTAAACATTTTTGATTTTTTTTAAAATAATGTTATGACTTTGAATACAGTTGTTCACTGTTCAAAAAAAAAAAAAAAAAAAAAAAAAAAAAAAAAAAAAAAAAAAAAAAAATACGTTGTTCACATTAGAGCCCATCACACTGAATAAAGTTATTAACATCAGAGCTCTGACTTTGAATACAGTTGTTCACATTAGAGCCATCACACTGAATAAAGTTATTAACATCAGAGCCCTGACTTTGAATACAGTTGTTCACATTAGAGCCCATCACACTGAATAAAGTTATTAACATCAGAGCCTTGACTTTGAATACAGTTGTTCACATTAGAGCCATCACACTGAATAAAGTTATTAACATCAGAGCCCTGACTTTGAATACAGTTGTTCACATTGGAGCCCATCACGCTGATTAAAGTCATCAACATCAGAGCCCTGACTTTGAATACAGTTGTTCACATTAGAGCCATCACACTGAATAAAGTTATTAACATCAGAGCTCTGACTTTGAATACAATTGTTCACATTGGAGCCCATCACGCTGATTAAAGTCATCAACATCAGAGCCCTGACTTTGAATACAGTTGTTCACATTAGAGCCCATCACACTGAATAAAGTCATCAACATCAGAGCCCTGACTTTGAATACAGTTGTTCATATTAGAGCCCATCACGCTGAATAAAGTCATCAACATCAGAGCCCTGAATCTGAATAACGTTATTCACATCAGAGCCCATCACACTGAATAAAGTCATCAACATCAGAGCCCTGACTTTGAATTATGAAAGGTAGTCAACACATTTGAACAGTTAATCCCCTAATTTGCATACAAATGATGACTTATTAGCATAAATTCCCATGACAACAACAATAATTAGCATATCAATGACTGCTGATGTTTCCTGTATGATTCATGCAAGGTACCACCAGTCACTAGTCCCTGGGGAGAAGACGTTTCATGTTCTATCTTTGAGATACATGACAACATCGTCATAATTCTTCGCCATCCACTCAATGTTAGTGTTTATTTGTTGTAATCCCTTATAGAACTGAATAGCATGGTCATTGGACATGTCATGGTATCTGTTACCAAAATCTTCATACTGAAATTTTGAACAGAGCAAATTATTAGAATGAACTTAAACTTAGAAGTAATTTTTCATATCAATTTTTTATTCACATGAGTGAGCATGTTTGATTTTAATGCATTTTCAGCCATCTTGAATTGGATCATGTGCAATTTTATATATCTCATTTATTTATTTATATAAATTTTTATATCACTTTTTGCTATAACCCAACGTAAAATTATTTACAAGAAGGCAAGAAAGTTATTATTATTTTGCATGTGTATACCTTTTATGATCTTAATCAAAATTTTATCAAATTTTTGTTAACACCAACCTTTTCTCTATCAGCCTGAGTGTTCATACTATCAGCAAATGACCATATTATTCCATATGCATTGTCTTCACCACTACAATATAAAACATTGCAACATATATATTTAAAAGTATGGTGGCGGCAATTAACAACACATTTTACATGGTTCATGTATAATCAACTGAAAACTATATATTCACCATTTCCTCTAACTCAACAAATTCGTGAAAACATTAAATCTAGGCATTTGTACACCAATATGGTCACATAAATTAATGAACTGGAATTATTATTATTTTTATTCTGAACTCACATGCTTGATTTCATTTCATCAAAGTTTGACACTACGTAATCCCAGGCTAAGTAGTAACCCAGGATAGAAGCGTCCCTAACGTCATTGACGACATCAACAAGGTCTTCACTCTGCATGTATTTTGCCATATAACTCTGTAATTTCCATGGCAACCCACTGCATGCTAAACCATATTTCAAGTCATCAGAGTATGGTCCATCAGTGGCGTTCACCAATAGTGAAAACACCGTCTCCCAATCCTCACCACTGTTACCATACATCAAACCATGGCATAGCACAGTTTGACGAACATCTGCAATTAAACTTAAAAAAAGAAAGAAATTCAACAGTTCATCACTTAGATGTAAATTAGAATACTGTAAAAAACTTATTTTCGCTGGGTGTTTTGTATGGAGTTTATTTTCACTGATTTTTGATTAGTTGAATGTAATGTTCACTTTCCAATATATGCAAATGACTCTCACATAATATAAACCAGATTCACAAATATAATAACTCAATTTTATAAATCAAGTATTTTAACTCAATTGTGCTAACTCAAACTCAGTTATGATATAACTAAAGTATGTTAACTCATTTGACAAGAATAACTCAAGTATTAAGTAACTGAAACCCTAACATGGCAAGAAAAAACATTGATAACTTAAGTATAATTCAATTATGATAACTGACACATAACTCTAGTATGTAACTCAAGTATAACTCAATTATGATAACTGACACATAACTCTAGTATGATAACTCAATTATGATAACTGACATATAACTCTAGTATGATAACCCAAGTATAACTCAATTATGATAACTGACACATGACTCTAGTATGATAACTCAAGTAAAACTCAATTATGATAACTGACACATAACTCTAGTATGATAACCCAAGTATAACTCAATTATGATAACTGACACATAACTCTAGTATGATAACCCAAGTATAACTCAATTATGATAACTGACACATGACTCTAGTATGATAACTCAAGTAAAACTCAATTATGATAACTGACACATAACTCTAGTATGATAACCCAAGTATAACTCAATTATGATAACTGACACATAACTCTAGTATGATAACTCAAGTAAAACTCAATTATGATAACTGGCACATAACTTTAGTATGATAACTCAAGTATAACTGAATTATGATAACTGACACATGACTCTAGTATGATAACTCAAGTAAAACTCAATTATGATAACTGACACATAACTCTAGTATGATAGATAACCCAAGTATAATTCAATTACGATATCTGACACACAACTAGTATGATAACTCAAGTGTAACTCAATTATGATAACTGACACATAACTCTAGTATGACAACTCAAGTATAACTCAATTATGATAACTGACACATAACTCTAGTATGATAACTCTAGTATAACTCAATTATTATATTTATTTCATAAAGGCAAACTTTTACAACAAATTGTCTCTTACAAGTTTGTTTTCCTATCATTCAACCATTCAGAAAACTTCTTCTGGGCTTCCAAAATACATTCACTGTTGCCATAGTAACAAGCAAATCTGGTGGCCAATGCTGCATTATGGCTGTTACAAAAGAAATAAATTACATCATAAATACTGCATAAAAGGCTCCAATTGGACCTCAATGACATAATGCATTAATATACAGTGACCCCATGCCGAAGGGGTCATGACTTATTAAGAGGTCTTGTGAAAGAGGCATTTTCACCCTTCTTGATAACAATTGATGACCGCAAAATTTTCGTTTATAGACATTTTGCTCAGTTAAATACTAAAAATCAGAATGATAGATTTTTCATAGGGTTTCATCGAAGTAGCACTGACCGAACAGGTAAAATTGTGAATTGACACCTTGAGTTGAGCTTTAACACATTTTGAAATTTATGGGGCAATGGACGTCAGATATCGATAATATTGGTGCGGTCTTAAATACACCGACATCGATCGTATCATTGTCACTTTAACAGCTATTAAATAAAATCATTTGCTTTTTTTTCTTCAAATTTACTGTTGAAAAATTATTTGAAACATGACTAATAGAGTGGAGTCACTGTACTACACTATACATGTAATAAAGTAATGAGAAATAACACTTATCATGCTTAACAAGTTCACAAAATAGTCCCATTTATAGTCTGCACTTCCCTTGAAAAATAGTTGAATTTTTTGAGTAAAAACTGAAATTGACTCAAATTTTGTCTGTTTGCTTGAAAATTAGGGTTCATGACAAAAAATATTGAAGAATATAAGAAAAGAAGGCAAAAAAAAAACTTGGGTGAGAAAGTCTGGCGGTGAAAAGGATAAAACATCTTACTAAAAAACAAACTACAGAATATTGTAAATTGTATGAAACAAATGTGACACCATGCCTATACATATATATACTAGTATACTCACAACTGTACAATGTTCTGAGTTGTCAGGCTCCATCCTAGTCTGCTATACATTGGTTTTATCACATCTGTCATCATACGCTACAGAAATAAAAACAATGAATGCTTATGTATTGATAGCAGCCAGACTTTCACACTCAAATTTTTCTGCACTTTTTTTTCAATATTCTTCAATATTTCTGAAAATGAATCCTAATTTTGGAGCCAACACACAAAATTTTAATCAATTTTCAGTTTTTACCCAAAAAATTGTCTTCCAAATCACCTGAAAGTACAGGCTATAAACTGAACTATTTTGTGAATTTGTGATAAAAATTCACATTTGCCGCAGTTTTGATGACAGTGTCACGTTACAGTAAAATTCTTACAATGTTACAGTAAAATTCTGAAAATTTTTTTAAGGAGGGCGGGAAAAAAATAAAATTAATTCTCTTTTTTTTCATTAGATTTGTGTGATTCTCAAAGAATTGTAAGTGAGATCATTGATCGGAGAGAAGAAATGAAATTAATTTTATTCCATGTATAACCTTGTTTCTCATCAGCGTGAGACTTGGGTACTTTGATCATGATACTGCCACGAAAATGCAACTTGGGTTTGTTATGCGGCGGGCGGAAAAAAATGAAGATAAAAATAAGCACTCACAAGTCGGTGGGCGCGAGGAATTACGCTGAAATAAAATGTTATTTTTATTTCACTTTCGGCTCCTGTTCATACGGGGGTCGCGAAACAAGGGATAATAAAAGTCTGGCCTAACTGAAAAAATTTGTCAGATTCGGGGCTACTATTGAGCCTCACAATTGTTTTTCAAAAATTGTGCAGGTTTAATTTATTTGCCAACAGAGGGCGCTGTGCAGTGTAGAAAGAAGAGGGACAAACATGTTCTTTCTGCATAATTTTGGTGGTACCTTTTGTGGTGTAGTAATTTTTGTGGTGTAGTAACTGATAATTACGATTTTTTTATAAAATTTGAATAAAAATTGGTGGTCCACATATTCATGATGTCATTAGTGTGAATACAGAACGCCCTCTCTCTAATACCCAGTTCCCATACCCTGAAGTCTTGGTATGCTTCTGTTCGTTTCAGCATATTATCTATGTACTTAATGGCAGACTCTGCGGCTTGCCATGGCGCATAGTCCATTTCAATCGTCAAGTACTCCAAAAGCTGCAACGATGTGTTGACACTGATATCTTGAGATTGAGCTATATTGAGTACATCATCCACTAAAGCGGCCCTGTTCTGTATTGATATAGTGGTGTGATCCATGTTCAATTGTTCGATCAGTTTACGCCAATTGTCAGCATCATAGTTAACTCGGTAGTAGCCCGTTTGATTGACGTTGAGTAAAAACCAATCAGTTTTACTGATCCCAGTTAAATCAAATGTTTCTGTGATCAAAAAAATACAACAAAATAACTAAACACATAAAATACATTTTGCTTGGCAAAAATCAACAATTTGCTGCAATTTTAAATTCTCTTTCCAACAAACACTTTGTGCCTATGGTGCTTCCACATTTTAAATTCAATTTTGCCAATTTTTATGTTATTCTTCACAAACTAATTTAATGAATTTGGAACAAATACACAATCCCTATTGATTACACATATTGATCAGAATTTTGAAAAAAAAATATGAAATTTTTTGTTTTTTGAATGGTGACAAAGTTTGCTTTGTAGCTCACAACGATAAACTCCACAGTGAGTTTAAATGAATTATTATTTATAGAATTAATCATATCACTTACTGGTTGACTGTGAAAACCATGTCCATTGTAGACTGCTGATTTCAGACCAAGCAGAATGAATGTATGTTAATGGTATAGACCAAGGTCTGTGTGAAATGGAAAAGAAAATCATCATATGGGGAAAAATAGACAAGATTCAGTAACTTTTCTCTGAAAAAATCTCTCATTTTTCAGGTCAAATTAAATGATTTTGATTTTTATGCAGGCTGCATGATTCTTTGAGTTAGGTCAAACGATGGTCAAAAACGATGACTCCTGGCATGTTGCAGACAGCGGATACGCGCTTATCAGCATCCGTTCATATGACTATACAGAGTCATATTAGGAGATAGAAAATACTGCAGATATTCACACAGCTTTATTTTGAAGACATTGCACACTAGATCTGTTTAACATATTTAATGACAATACATGATAAAAACACCAACATACCCTAATTCTGGGTACTTTCCAGGCATTGTTGCTTTTTCGTGAGGATTTAGCAAAAATCTCTTTTGTTGAACTGTAACTGCATTATTTTCCCTAGTTGCCATGACAATAGGATATCCAACTTGTCGGAACCAAGGATCCATTATCATCTTCAAGTTAATATGTCCTTCACTGTTTCCAGCATTTGCCTGCAATAATGTCAGATCCCACATTTCGACTGATTTGTATGAAGTTTATTTTCGCTGATTTTCAATGAATTTTGAATGTAAAATATATTTTGACTGGATTTTATTCTCAATGATTCATCTTTTCAGCAAAAATAAATTCTGAGAGAATAAAAGATATTTTACAGTATGCGTGAAATAAAAAAATAAAAAAAGGACAGACAAAGGTCATAGTGTCGTCAAAACCTATTTCCATGTTTATGATGATGATTCGATGATGGTAATTCAGATGAAGTAAAAATATATCAACGCCATATTCCTCTCTGAAAGAAATTTCAACATTGAACTATAGAACAGAATTTCAAGTTCCAAATCAGGGGGGCAGACATTCAGCCTTTCCGTGCATTATGGGAGATCTTGTAGTGAACGAAAAATCACTTATTAGCAAGAAAATTATTACCAATACTAATGAGACATTATAAAGAGTTTAGATACTGTAGAATACTTTATTTTCGCTTGGAATTTATTTTCGCTGAAGGGATGATTCCGTGAAAATAAAATCCAGCGAATATACTTTTTTTTCTATATTTCACATTAAACTCATGAAAAATCAGTGAAAATAAAATCCAAGCAAAACGCCCCAAAAGCCTTTTCAGCGAAAATTAATTCCAGCGAAAATAAAGTATTCCACAGTAAATGGGTATGTCATTTATTCCTCATTTAAATAATGCTGGTTTGTGGCTTAATGATTGGCTGCCTACAAAGCGACCAAAAGTTTCTAGAATTCATATTTACAGTACCCAGAAAGTTGTTGCTGGAGTTATTATAATAGGTTTTTGAAGACAGTACAGTGAGACACGTAGCGTCTATTGATGTGACTGTGTGTGCCGTATTGTCAACATAGCCTTATTATACAGCTCTTGATATATGAATCCAAGAACTGAACAAAATGATAACAATTACTGGGACTTTTGTGCCGTAATCAACTTTGCATTGCAACACGTTCACCATGTGCGAAACACTGTGTAATCTTTCCATATAAGGAATTTACATTTCCTAATATGGTAGTAATGCAGATATCCTGCACAATACTGCAAAAATAAGACATGCTGTAACTAATTACGACTGGTTATCCACTCCTCACTGAAGTCTTGACTTTCTGCTACTTTTCTGCTCCAAAATCATGCAAATTTATTTGCAACACCATCCAGAATTGGCGGTCACAAATTTGTTATTGTGGCCACTATCATTTGATAACGCCTGTGAGGGAAAATGTACAACTGTCATCCATTGTTTTGAAAATTAGCATATTCAGATTAGAAGTGTTATATTTTTTAACCAATCAACATCCAGATGCATATTTAAAGGAGTTAATCATTGGAATAGTTTGGTATCCTGGCTAATAGAGTACATACATAGTAGTCAACTAATAATAAGCATCTCTGATTCCAGATTTTAGAAATTTAGAACAGGAAACTTAAATATTTACACCAACATTTTACCATGGAGAACCAAAGGTGGTGTGGAGCGCCCTCAATCACATGCATATAGATTCTTTTGTTTTACGGTACCTGTTTTGACAAGTGTATCCACAAATCATCCATTTCAGTGTTATTGTACAAGTTATCTTTCAAATATTCCATGATTCCACTATGAAAGACATCCTTGTCTAAGAAAGATTCTATCATTCTGATCAGTGAAGCAGCCTGGAATAAATAAATAAATAAAAAATAATAGCAATTAATTCTTCCACATAACATTGTTTATTTTTGTTTCAAATGAGAAAAAAACCCATTCACAAATATGATGACTAAGAAAGCTACACAGACTTATGTTAACTGAAGGAAATTTGCCGAAATTTATGAAGACAAGAATTATTAAAAATACAACAACATCAGAGACACCACTGAATGGAGTGAAACGAGTAGCACATGATACCAAGATCTAATTTACTTTCACCTGTACAACTTTCAAGCATGGGTCAAATTTGATATGGAAAGGAGACTGGACAGATTTAGCTTACAACATGTATCATCAAATTTCAGACATGTTTTATAAATATCGTATATACACGTTTTTTCAGAACATTTTCTGTGACATGTTTAAACAATGTTTTTATAAGTAGAAAACAAAATCCTAAATTGGCTGAAAGTAATAATACACAGTTAAAGTCAATTATCGAGTACCGGTTTAAAATTACTGGGTGTAATGTATTTTTTAATTGTTGCAATTTTTTCTGACTTTTTCAAGACACATTTTTTTTTTTCAAAATTTTGGATTTTCAGACCTGTAGTCAATTGAAAATCATGTCTATTTCATCCCAAATTATCAAATATATCATAAAATACATAAATTGGCAAAATGTTACAACAAAATATTTTGGAAGGGAAAAATTATGACGCTTAAAAGGTTAAACAGAATCTTCAATCATCAGTCCTTTCTTTAAGCACATGTACCAAAATCTACAAAATAAACTAATAATATTTTTTCCATTTCATTTTTTCAATTATTTCTATCAATAGCTAATGAGAATACGTAAAATTACGTACAAATGTGCAGAATTCAAAAAGTAAAAGCACAATATATTGTTTTTTACGCTATCCTGTGGGGCCCATACCAAACAAAGCAGTATGATGACTGTGTCCCCTGACAATTCAAATCATACTTATCATTCCAAAATTAAGAAAATAACAGTGCTTCACTTAAAGCAGGGGAGTCATCACCTGCGCATGCGTCAGATGGCAATAGCGTGTCATTGTTTACAAACAAGCGTCTACCCATGAGCCTTTGCATTTTTAGAGTGTGTTGTTATCGTCGCTTAGGACTCAATTCCCGCGCGTGCGTAGGTGACGACCCTCCCGCTTTAATCTGTTGAAAATTACAAGAAACTTGTAAGTAATTCCATTTCCCACAATGCAACACAGTAAATCAAAGTGCAACCTATCTCACCCGTTCATAAATTGATACACCAAACAGTTCATCAATTTCATTCTTCCATCCGACTGGTCTGACTGTGGGAGGCGAATCCAGACTGCTGTCACTACCAAAAGCTTTGAATGTCACTATTTCTTGATAAAACTGCTCATACTGAAAAATAATTAAATACAAGTAATATGTTTATAATTATTTAGTTGCCTTGGTTACAGTCAAGCATACGGAAACTCAGAGTAACTTATCTCATTGTGTTGTGAGGTACTCGGATTGTGACAGATAAATGAAGGCCGGCTTGCATTTTAAAAAATCATACAAAATTAAGTCAATTATTTAGAAAAAAAAATAATCATAAGGTTATTTTGCTTAAAGATTTTAAGGAGAAATTGAGAATAAAATGACAAAAAATGTTCAGTATTGTTTCACAAATAAACAGGTTAAGGTATTTGCCAACTCATAATTTTTGAGAAAGTTGGTAATAAATCGCATGAAATATCATTATTTTGTGACGTATTTTGAGAAACTCGTCCTAATATTTTATCACTATTTTAAGAACAATTCCATAGAGAACAATGTTGAAGAAAAATTGCATTTTTTGACATTTTTTAAAACCCAGATTTTTGGAATGATTGAGGACAACAATAAGTACCCATTATTGACAATATGTGATTATTTCAGTAGCATACAATTTGAGATATTGCATAATATACTACTGTCAAATGGCCACTATCCACTAAAATACAACTTTTTTTAGTCAATATCTTCATAAGTACAATTTATGAATAAATTTAATATATTTTGGTTAAAATTGTGATCTTCAATCCTTTCTTTAGGTACTAAAGGTTGTTCTCATATTTATCGGGCAGATCAACAGACATTTTTTTTTTCTCTTCTGTTTAATTCTGATTTTTGTCTCAAGTAAATATTTTTGGCCATTTTTGGTTAAGCATGATACTGTAGAATACTTTATTTTCGCTTGGAATTTATTTTCGCTATCTTCGCTGAAGAGATGATTCTGTGAAAATAAAATCCAGCGAATATATTTTTTTTCATATATTTCACATTAAACTCATCAAAAATCAGTGAAAACAAATTCTAAGCAAAACGCCCAAAAAGTCTTTTCAGCAAAAATTAATTCCAGTGAAAATAAAGTATTCCACAGTATTTCAGAAGATTTCATTTTTTCAACAGATAAGAAAGACTGTTTTACTATTTACCAGGAGTAACTTGTTGTAGTTCTGTTTCACATTATTTATCATTTTAATTTTCTTTTCATCATGCCACTTTTATATTCTAGAAAAGTTTGTGTCAGTCTATGGAGGTAAAACTGAATGTGATCTATTGTAGATACATTATTTATTCACTAGTTTTTAATTCCGTTATTTTTTACTGTAAGTAACAACTGCTGAATTAAATATATTTTGTCATGTAAAACAAGAACCAACACATACCAAAAATTATATTTCAAAAGTGAATATTCGTCGTGTATTTTAAGTCTAACCGGACCGAAAGTGGGAATTTGTTAGTACTCTAAATATCCAAACATATTTTAGTATAAGGTAGTAATAACAATAGAATTTATTGTTTCCATGCCAATTTTATGAAATTAAAACCCAGTTAAATTGCTCAAAATAAATTGTTTTACAGTATATGTATATTTTTCAATACAAGTGGATTAGGGATTTCTCTATAAAATAGAAATAGTTCATAAATACCAGCGTATTGTCAATAACTGTAGATGAGATGGGATTAGAGAAAACATGAATTCTGTTTAACCTTTCGAGCGTCATAATTTTTCCCTTCCATTTTGTTGTAACATTTTGTCAATTTACATATTTTATGATATATTTGTTAATTTTGGATGAAATAGACATGTCAACGTAAAACCATCACATTCGAACAGTTGAAATAATGAAATCAGAATAAACACACCCTGATGACATTGTCTGTTGCAACTAGTATGATGATAGTAGAGTGACGATGAAATACTATGATTTTGTTTTTATTTGAAACAATATCTTTTCGAATCATAATCATGTAGAATTGCAGAAATATAATATGAAAATGATAGAGTACGGTACTCACAGTACCTCAAGAATTAATAAATAACAAATATTTTTAAAGAAATGAATATCGATACTATCACAATTTCTATGATATGAGAGGTACATTACTTGGGGTTTGTAACTACGGTGACATGATACCAAGATCCCGTCACAATCTCGCTCTCACATAAGCGTTCCAACTCAGAAAAAATGCGAATGCGCATGCCCGAGGTAACTAGGATACTGGGATGTCCAGGTGGATCAAAATAGCTGCCCACGATATGACGGATTACGAGAACTATATTTTCTGTACATTTTCGATGTATTACATTTTTCACTATGATAGTGACAAGAAAAGTTGATTTTTTTCATTACAAACCTTGAACATTGATATGCGTCATGTCAGAAGGTCGTAGCCTCAGTTTCGCTATCTACGAGAAGAGACTTGAATGGGATCTTGATATGATGTCACCATACAGTACTATGCGAGTTGCAAACCCCAAGTAGTGTACCTCTGATGATATATATTTACAAGTCATATTTTCAGAATGACTTGAAAGTCAAAACCCTTTTAACATCGATGTAATGAACAGGATACAGTATCAACTCTGAGTATTATTACTGTCAGTAAAATTGAACAATCTCAGATACATTTCTTTTATTTCATTATGTTTTAAAACACAACTGAATCAGGATGCAAAAACACCTTAGTAGCCAATCCATGATGAAGCACAATCACAATAAACTAAAAACAGCCATAAAAGAGTCAGGAAAATGTTTGAAATCCTTGAATTTCAGTGCCACAAGGTGAGATGTCATGTGGTTGCCGATATTACTGTAATTATTCAATGGGTTTTTATCTGCTTATTTCGCTGACTGGAAAATCCACTAAATTAAAACCCAGTGAATATGTAAAATTTAGCAAAACCTTGATTTCAATACCTACTGAATATGCCTGAAATGCTAAATTAGTGAAATTTAAACCCAGTGAAAATTAGTCATTTTACAGTATATAAATGGATCACGTCTGAAGAAAATCCATCTACTGTAAAAGGATTAATTATTCACTGGGTTTTTATTTTGCCTTTTTCGCTGACCGGAAAATGCTCAAAATTAAAACCCAGTGAATATGTAAAATTTAGCATAGAACACATTATCTAAATGACGAAACCTTGAATTTAAAACCCAATGAATATGCCTGAAATGGTAAATCAGCGAAATTGAAACCCAGTGAAAATTAATCATTTTACAGTATTATGCATTTTTGGCGTTAAAGCTACCATCGGTTTGTATCATTGATACATGTACATGCATGCTGGTTCCCAAAAGTATTTGGAGAAATGAACCCAGATGAAAGAATGAAGAGTTGAAGTCCAATTCATAGCAAACACTTATAACTAGAAAATTACTCACGTTTTGCCATTGTGGATATATATGATTCACACCTATGTTTTGGTAAAATCTTGCAAAACCTTCCGATAACCATAATTCGTCCCACCAGCTCGGAGCAACAAAATCACCGAACCACTAAAACAAACAAATATATACAGCAATGCTATAATCACAAATATTTGTGGATGTTAAGGCCAGACATTTTTTATTCCTTGTTTCTCGAGTTTTTATAAGGCTATTTTTTTGAGGAGGGCGTACAAAAAATAAAATTAATTCTTTTTTTCAATTAGATTTGTGTAATTCTCAAAGAATTGTAAGTGAGATCATTGATTGGAAAGGAGAAATGAAATAAAAATATTCCATGTATAACCTTGTTTCTCATCTGTGCGAGACTTCGGTACTTTGATCGTGATACTCCCATGAAAAAAAAATTAAGATAAAAATAAGTTTTTTTTGCAATTTTTTGCACTTACGCTGAAATTACGCTGAAATAAAATTTTATTTTTATTTCATTTTCGGCTCCTGCTCATTCGGCGGGTTCGTGAAACAAGGGATAATAAAAGTCTGGCCTAATTAACATTTAATATTACTCTAAAACGTTCAGATTTTATTATTTTCTACACATGTGTACATTATAACCAGACGAGGCTGGAGTTTATTGTAGTGAAGACAAAAATAATTGTCGACATATGGGCACAATATGTCAGGTTTCAATCAGTATTAATTACACCACAAATGCTGTAACTTTGATTCCTTGCCAAGTTATTTCAAATTTAAAAGGTTTGTGACAACATCGACAATACAACTTTAAGACAGAAGGTCACAATGACTTTTATGACTTCTTCACTAACTATCTTAAATTACGAGATCAACGTTCTAGCAGGGACACTACTAATGTTTACAGTTATATACCGACCAATGACGAGTTACTCACCATGTGAACTAGTTCATGTGAAATCACATGTGCGCTAGTTTGTAACTGAGATGGGGAATGTACGCTACTGTCGTATAAAACTAGATAATCTTGATAAGTGATCAAGCCCCAGTTTTCCATGCCCCGAGCACTTAACGATGGCAGGGAGATCATATCTTGAAAAAAAAAATGATATCATCAGATATAAAAAAAAATCAATCTTCCAATATAATAAAATTGATTTTGGTGTATTGTAACAACACAAAAAGTTGAAACATTTTTAAATGAAAAAGGTACCTCAAATTTCTTGGCAATGAAGTAAGATATCAAAAACCAAACAGTAATTTTGGGCACACTCCCAAGCAAAGCTGGAATAGATATGGCTGAGATATTTACTCCAAGTTTTGTAGGAGATACAATTGACACAAAGGTGCATGTTGCATGGAAACTGTTGGTCAGGATTTCAGGTCAGGTGTGATCTGCCTGTCAATTTTGAACGAACAGGAGAATTAATACTAGCCTGGAATCCAGACATTCTGAATACAATTATACATAAATGAAAGAAACGATATATTCAAACAAGCAGCCTATCGGCTGAGATAGCTCCG